GGGGCAACACGGAGGGTTGGGATCCGTTGCCGGACATGGAAAAAAACAAAAAAAAAAAAAAAAAAAAAAAAAAGACCTGAAAACCCTGTGGTATAAAAGCTTAGAAATGCTGGCCAAATATGAGAAACATCCCATTACGAGTATAGTTAGCTCCCAAAAAAGTAAAAAAAAAAATTAAATTTAAACATTATACTAACAAAAGAGACCTGCAAAGAAATTATATAATTATTTTTTAAATTTATAGACTATGTTTTAATGTAAATTAGGAGATTTATTTTATTTACTGTTTCTTTTTCAAATTCTTTTAGATCTATTAATACTCGCCTTGAGAAAACAGTAAAGGAGCTAGAAGAAGAGGTAAAGTTGTCTTGTGCTTCTGTTAACATTTTTGTTAGGAAATGTAGGTCTGACTTTTACCTACAGAGTTCTCTTAGTATCCTGGTAATATATATCTTGATATATAGTAAAACCAACTTTGTAGCATTAGTGGGCAGGGCTAAAATTATAGGTTAATCATATTATAATAAGTTTCACTCTGATATGTTTTTACAAACTGAGTTAATTTAGGATGTGTAGATATTTCAATAAAAAAATTTCATTTGTGTTGTGTTTAGTGACATGGTTTAAAAACAGAAAGTGACCTTTTTAATTGCTATTCTTAACATTTTAGAGCAGCCCATAGTTAGTATTAAATAGTGATGGTTCGGTATTGATGATGGAAAGTTATAGAAAGTTTGTCAGTTAGTTCAGTTGGTTAGAGCACTGTGTTGATAAAAACCAAGGTCAAGGGTTCGGATCACCTTACTGGCCAGCTGCCAAAAGCAAAAAAGAGAATAGTGTGCAGCTTTTACAAACATGGAAAACATCATTATAGTTTTAACAACAACAAAAAAATAGCGATAGCTTTTTTTTTGAGATCTTTTTTGTATTTTTGAAATATCTGAACTATTTTTGTTATGATTTGAATTTTATACATACTTGCTTTTGATAATAACTTTAAGCATTATTTCAGATTACCTTAAGGAAAAATGTGGAATCTGCATTAAGACAATTAGAAAGAGAAAAGGCCCTTCTTCAGCACAAAAATGCAGAATATCAGCGGAAAGCTGATCAGGAAGCAGACAAGAAACGAAATTTGGAAAATGATGGTTTGTGCTATAGAATATTAAATGCTTATCAAGGAAAAAATTAAGTTTGTGTATGTGTTGTTTTAAAGCTTGCCACTGAAATGCTTTTTATTACAGTTAACAGCTTAAAAGATCAACTTGAAGATTTGAAAAAAAGAAATCAAAACTCTCAAATATCCACCGAGAAAGTGAATCACCTTCAGAGACAAGTAGGTTGATCTTAATTTGTAATGAGGATATTGAGTTTTATTTATGACTGCCTATTAACGGTTTTAATTGACAGTGGTGCAGAAGGCCTTTGCTTCTAATTTTAGAGGGAAATCCTTAGTGAAAATGTTTTCCGGTTTTTGTTTATTTTAAATAGTTTATAATGGGGTAATAAATTGATGTATTTTCATTATATACACTGTGTTTATTTGTTTATAGTTTTTATTGTTGTTTGTTTGATTTTAAATGGAAATAACAGTTGGATGAAATGAATGCTTTGCTGCGAACAGAATCTGATACTGCAGCCCGCTTAAGAAAAACCCAGGCAGAAAGCTCAAAACAGATCCAGCAGCTGGAATCTAACAATAGAGATCTTCAAGATAAAAACTGCCTTCTGGAGACTGCCAGGTTAAAACTTGAAAAGGAATTTATCAATCTTCAGTCAGCTCTAGAATCTGAAAGGAGGGATCGTACCCATGGATCAGAGATAATTAATGATTTACAAGGTAATAAAGTAGAGATTACACTTGAATCAATCTTGATGATTTATATTTTGGAATTAACTTTAAATGATGGATAATGTCCTGGAGTAACACATTTCTGAATTTACTACTCTTGTATAAAGTTAGAATATTAGAAATACATTGATATAAAAGTTTATAAACTAAAGATTTACTTTCAAATAGTATGATTTTAAGTATCAAACTCCTCAGGTGGTAGATTGGGTTCTAGTTAAATTAACTGTGAAGCCCTATACCAACAAGTGTAAAACTCCTGCTTACAAATAAATGACAGCTCCAAAATATTAAGGGGCTTCTAAATTTTTTACTCTTAACTGAATGTATACACTTTGTAGATTTATTGTTTTGAAAAATGTTGCAATTTTTAGGTAGAATATCTGGCCTGGAAGAAGACTTAAAGAATGGCAAAATCTTGTTAACAAAAGTAGAGCTGGAGAAGAGACAGCTACAGGAGAGATTTACTGATTTGGAAAAGGTAAAACATGTTAATAAGCTTTATATTTTTTGTGTAAGAAAATGGCAGAATTTCAGATTAGAAAAGTTATTCCAAAATTAGGAAAATCACTAACTGGAATATTTCCAAATATTTCCATATGCTCATGGGTTCTTTTATATTTACTTGGTTGTGTGGATGCTCATGAAGGAAGGGACTGTCTGGAATGTGTGTAATGAGGATACTTCTCTCTAGGGATCCAAGTAATACTCAGATTTTGTCTCATAACATGTCTTAAAAATGACATGATATAAAGTCATCACAACTTTTGTCATTTACTGAGTTTTTCTTTAAAAGTACTATAAGCCAGGGGTGATTTCTGGGATTTGTGTAGTTAATGTTTTATTTTCATTTACTTCTTTATTCATTTGTTTAAGTATTTAGTGTGTCATATGTGGTAGAAGTATGAGGGTACAGTCCTTGCCTTTAATAATATCACAGTCTAATGGGTCATTTTTAAGTAATAATGAAGCACACAGGTAATTCTAATGTAGTGTGGTAAATGGAATGATAGAGATATGGGCAGGATATATATATTGATGTATAGTATGAATCCCTAATCTGACAGGGCAGAATAGGTTGGCAAGATAAAGGCATGTGTAAAGTTGGGGAAGACAGCAGGAGCAAAGGCATAGAGGATAGAAAATAAAGAAGCTATTGTTTATTTAATTACAAACTGTTCAATATTTCTGGAGCATAGAGAAGGGGTCAGCAAACTTTAATCTTTTAAGGGCAAGATAATAAATATTTTAGGTTTTGTGGGCCATATGGTTTCCTGTTATAACTACTCAGTCCTGTGGCAGTTTGTAAAAGAACGTGTGTGGCTATGTCTTATGAAATTTTTAAAAAAATAGACATCAGACCGAAATTGGCCTGAAGACGTAACATGGTCCTTATGTAAGAGTGTGAGGAATTCACTAACCAGAGTAAGGTTACAGAGCTAAGCATTAGCTAGATCATGCAGAATTTTGAATACTCTGTTAAGCTTATAATATAGTCTTTAAATAATGGGCTAGCCACTGAAGAGCTTTAAATTGGATGACCTTATTAGAGATACATTTAAGATAGATCACTATGTACTACATGGAGAATAGATTTGAGGAGGACAAGACTAGACTTATCAGAAGACTTTTTCAGTAATTCAGATAAGGGATATTGGAAACTTAATTAGTGCATTTGTTAAAAGGATGGAAAACAGGAATGACTCAGAAATATTTGGGGGAGGAATATTTCACAGCACTTAGTAATTGATTAGATGTGGCATGTGAGTAGTAGTTAAAGATCAGTCCCAGGTTTGTAGTTTGAGACAAGCTGTATAGTGGTGCCATTAATTGATAAAGGAAAAATAGCTCATTAATAGCAGACAGTGATAAATCCATTTTAGTCCTCTTAAGTTTGAGGTGCCTGTGGGACAGCCAAATTAGAATGTCTGCAAGGCAGTGTGCTATGGTAATAGAAGCTAGAAATATTTGAGAATCATCAGTATGTAAGTGCTGAAGCCATGTGAGTAGAGGAGCCCATCTGGGAAAAGAACGATTTTTCAGGGCAGAGTAGATTACTCTGTTGGTGGATTTTGTAGTTTGAAAATCATTTTAGTATTAAAAAAATTATTTAAAAAAAGAAATACCTGTTTCATATTTATGATATGAGCTATAGAAATCAAGAGTTAGAAAATGTTTGGGGTATGTATAGAAAATAGACTGATTTCTATTATCAAGGATTCTCAACTTAAAACAAGTCCCCTATGTGGGGAGTACAGGTGAATGGTAGGGGATCTTGATATTATTTTTAATTTATAGCAAAGGGAAATATTAAGTATGTTTTAAGAATTTAAGAAATAATGATATAGGAAGAGAGGAAGCATTTGGCTAAAGACCGCCACCTCCAAAGAACACCAACATTTAAGGGGGCAGCTGAGAAAACTTAGGAGCAACAGTAAAGATGAGAGCAGAATGGGGAGAACCAAGTAAGCACAGTGTCAGAAATGTCAAGGGATGGCCTCAGAGGTGGCAGTGATTTCAAATAAGATAAAGACTGAAGAGTGTTGTGAATTTGATAGTGAGAATAGCATTGGTCGCTTTACTGAGATTAAGCAATGTAAATACAGAGCTCAAAACAGTGTAGTGGAGGTGTGGAAGGAGGGGTACAGAGAAGAGATAGAGTACATAGATTATTATCATAAGAAGTTTGGATAATGAGTGGAGGGGAAACATTGAACATTTTCATTAAACCTGTTAGAAAAGAGTTTTGCAAGTTTTTGAAATTGTGAGTCAGTGTTTGTTGTTGATAGTTGCCATTTAAAATCTTTAATAGGAAAAGAGCAACATGGAAATAGATATGACATACCAACTGAAAGTTATACAGCAGAGCTTAGAACAAGAAGAAGCTGAACACAAGGCTACAAAAACAAGACTAGCCGATAAAAATAAGATCTATGAATCCATTGAAGAAGCTAAATCAGAAGCCATGAAAGGTATGCATTTTTTTTTTCCTCTTGTCTTTTTTCGTGACCGGTAACGGGATCGCAACCCTCAGTGTCGCGCCCGCACCACGCTCAACCAGTGAGCGGACCAGTCTCTATATGGGATCCAAACCCTCGGCGGGAGCGCCACTGCACTCCCAAGTGCTGCACTCTACCCAGTGCGCCACCGGGCCAGCCCGAAAGGTATGCATTTTTAAAAGAAGGTTGTCCAGCAGCATTTTCCTAAGAATGCTTTGGTTTTGAAAAGTATTTGTTTATATTTCATTGCCGAATATTGGGAACTTGAGGAGAGGAACTGTTAGGGAAGCTTTGCGTATATGTTTTTTTCCATTGCATCATTACAATAATCGTTTCTAAGATAGTAAGATCCAAACACAAAATTATGTGACCAAATTTTTAGATCAGAGAGAAATTAATATTTCAGTGGTACCAGTAATAGTAATAGGGATACAGAGTGTGAAGATTTAGATATGTCTGCTGAGATTTGGGGGGATATGTTCTTTTTTTGTAATATTTATTATAGTTTGACATTTCACCAACTTACATTAGAAAATTCTTGCCAATTTATACAACAAAGATTTAAAAACAATAGTCGGCCTAACTGGAATATAATTTCACTGAATATTTTGAACTGTGGCATAAAGATACTTAGCCAGATTTGGTCAAAGCCATTTAGTAATAATAGATAACAAAGTTAACTTTTCCAAAAACCAGGCTTTATCTTGGAATTGTCTTAGGATAATTCCTTGTTTTCCAAACTGACTATTTATAATTATGATGGATTTGAAATTCCAAAGGAAATCAGTACTTTTATTCTTGTGAAAGTCTTAAAACTCTTGAACAGAAATTTCATTTCAGATTGAAGCATAACATTTATGAATAACTTATCAAAAAATAGCCTTTTAATTATTGCATGTAATTAAAATTGTAGATTTTCTTATTAAAATCAGTTTAGTTTATGGCAGAAATTCAGGATGATAAGAAATGAAATGAGTGCCTTATTTAGAAAAATCTATTGGAAGAGAGGAAGCTAGTTGGCCGTGTTTCCTTGTCTGTGATATAATTTATGTGTAATAAATTGTAAATGTTTTTGGCATTTGTGATACACTCGTATAAATACCACCCAAAACAAGACATAGTATATTTTCATCACCTCAGTAAGTTCCCTTGTGCCTCTTTCTATTCTTTGTGCCTACATTATGGTAACTTTTTAAAAATGAGTACATTTGTAAATTGGTTATTCTCTGAACTGAGGAAAATGAACCGATTCAGTATACTATAACTACCATTTTGTCAAACTGTTACTTAGAACTCTGATATAGGATACATGATGACTTCTGTATTTTCCATGTGAGTATACAAAACTGTTAAATATTATACATGCTATTCCAATCTGGGTCTAAAGCCTTTGGTCTTTCTGCTGCATGCCATTGCCTCCTTGGATTAAGAACATAGCTTACTAAGTAATTACTAGCCATAGTGACCTTGTTTAGTTACTGAAACTTTCTGTGCCTTGCTTCCTATAAAGAGACAATAGCAGTATCATTAGGTTGTGCAAATCAAGTGCGTGAAAGTGCTTAGGAATGCTAGCTTTTATTAGCGCTACATGAAGCATGTTTCATTTTCTTCCATGCTTTTGAAGACTATTCATTAAAAACTGAAAATTTATAGGTTTAATTTTTACCTAACGTAACTTTATAATGGATGATAATTAGATGTAGAGCATTAGATGTGAAGAAGCAGGAGAATCTTGGATTTGCCCTGAATTACAACTAAGTATATCAAAAGATAATCCTTTAACTGTAATAATTTATGTTTAATATTGACATCACTTGGTAAGACTTAAACTCTGCCTGCGCTTCTCTTGGAGATGGAAGAAGGCTTTTAAAAGCCCTTTCTGATTAATAAAACAAATTAAAAGATTATTGCACATTGTTTAGAAAATACAGGAAAGTATAAAAGAAACAAGGAAAGATTTCACATAATCCTACTAATTGGCATAGTATTTTGCATATTTTCTCCATTTTCTATACAGTTTGGCTTTTCTTCTTTTAAAAAACAATGTGAGCATTTTCATAGTTTATTTAAAAATTCTCCTTAAATAATTATCACTTACCAAGTGCTTGCCATATGCCGGGCAGCATTTAAGTGGTGCACTTTTCGAGTATTAACTCAAAATCTTCATAACATCTCTAGGAGGGAAGGTGCTATTATCCCCATTCTAGAGATAAGGAAACTGAGGCCCAGAGAGGTTAATTAATTTGCCTGGTCAAATAATTTAAACTCAGGAAATTTGCTTCCACAGTCCTATCCTTTAACACCTTCCTAAAACATACTTTTCAACATCTGCATAGTAGTAATACATTAAGATGGAGAGTCATGGAGTTCATAGAATCTACCTGGAATGTTTTAAGATGAAAAAAATAATAATGAGAGACACAGTAGCAGAAAAAATTTCTAAATCTTTATTTAAAGATGTAAGCAGCTTATAGAACCATAAATAAAGGCAGAATTATCTTCCTTCCATTAGAATAGATGTAATATTGCTGAGTGTGTTATATTTTGTACCCTGCAAATGAAACTCCTAATTTTCAAGCATGAGATTCTTGACATAGAGAGGAGTGATAAATATTAAATTGGAAATTAATAAAAATAAAAGGCAGCATCATTTTCTGCAATTTTTATTATTACTGTTTCACATATTTGATATGCTTCTTTTATTTGTAAGTTCGTGATTGTGTTCATTTTATTGTGACAGAAATGGAGAAGAAGCTCTTGGAGGAAAGGACTTTAAAACAGAAAGTAGAGAACCTGTTACTGGAAGCTGAGAAAAGATGCTCTATATTAGACTGTGACCTTAAACAGTCACAGCAGAAAGTAAATGAGCTCCTTAAACAGAAAGATGTGCTAAATGAGGATGTAAGTATGAAGTTTACTGATAAATAATAATAAAATATTTAATGAATTAATAATAACCTAGGTTTATTTGTAAAGGTTTAATGATGGCTTCATAATTTTAAAAATTTTCTTGCAAAATAATATTTGACAACATGTTAGTTTTACTGAATTACAATGATATACTAAATGAATCATAATTTAAAAATTTTAAAGTTATTTTTACTTTAAAGATCATATATTTGTATTTTATAAAATATTTGTATATTTGAAAATACATTTGTAACATTCTTAGAAATACAAAAAATAGCTAACTGTGAAATGTATTAACTGCCTAAGGGCAAAGTCTATTATATGTCACTTTTGCTGCCAGCTTCATTGATAACAAAAATTAAAATAATTTACTCATGTACCAAGTACACAATTTATTTTTTAGGTTAGAAACTTGACATTAAAAATAGAGCAGGAAACTCAGAAGCGCTGTCTTACACAAAATGACTTGAAGATGCAAACACAGCAAGTTAACACACTAAAAATGTCAGAAAAGCAGTTAAAACAAGAGAATAATCATCTCATGGAAATGAAAATGAGCTTGGAAAAACAAAATGCCGAACTTCGAAAGTAAGTTAAATTGGTTGAGACAAAGTTTTAATATGCACAGTCATCCACATGTAAATTACCTTAATTTCAATTTATCTGGGGATTTTCTTTTGACAGTTTACTTTCTTGACCACATTTTTTCTTTCTTTTTCTATAAGTGATGTGTTGAGTGCCACTGTTGTCCTTCGACAAGATGGTATTGGCTTCCCCAACAGTTTTTTACTACTGCTACCTAATTATGATATTATGATAAGGGAAAGTATTGGTGTTGGAGCAGAAGAAAATATCTGGGATTTTTACTCCACGCTCTTAAGATTTTCCCTCGGGATTGTTCCTCAAGTTTATTTTTCATATGCCTGTTGTTCCTTTAGTTTCTAGGACTTGGACATGTTTGATTATTAAGCAAATACCATGTAAATTTTTAGCCATTTTATAGGATATACTGTAGTGCTATACTTAATTTACTTAGCAAATGGAAAACATATTATTAAAGTACTTAAAAAGTAGACAGTAAATATACTGTTAAAGTTTATCCCATTCATTCTATTAGTGGTAGAATTACTTCTTTCCAGTCATGGCCAAAGGTCATACTGGATCCCAGTTATTTGATAAGAGACAGTGTGATAGAGTGGAAAGAACATAGGCTTTGGAGCCAGCCAGACTGAGATGTGAGTGAGTTCCATCACTTACTAGCTGACCAACACTGAGCAAAATATTTAACCTGAGCCTTTTATCACACCTGTGAAAGGAGGCAGTAATAACTTGCTTGTTAGGGATCTTGTAAAGGATAACAATGATTTATTTAAAACTCATAGCACACAATAAATGGTAGAAACTATTAATACTGCAACTATTACTGTTACTACTGCTACAACTATGACCACTACTCTACTATCATCATCATTGCTAATTGCCTGGGTTTTACATACCTATGACAGGTCAGTAAGATTGACACTATCTAGGAAAGGGTGGCCAGAATATTCAAATAGGCTTTGTTCTTTTTGCTGATCTGTTTATTGCCAGGGTAAGCATAGACTCTTAAACTTCATGAGATTTCAACTTTTAAAATTGAAACTAGAAATTGGAACGATATTCAGACATCTTCATCTTATCTTTGTTTTTCTGTATATTAGCTTTATTCTTCTCTCTCATTTTAGGCCAGCTTTTTCCATTTAACAGAAAACTTGTCCATTGATAGCTCTAGTGATAGGTCGTATAGCATCATTTACTTGGAGAGACCCTGATTCAACTTTATTAGATCACAAGTTCAGAAAGCACTCCAAGTCTTAGTATGGAACTCATTGGCCCAGCTTTGGGCAGGAGCATTCCACTTGACTGAATGCTTTCCATTCTAACAGCAGTTTATGTGAATGCAAGGGCTAGTTAATCATCTGGATTGTATTCAGTATGGAACTCATTGGCCCAGCTTTGGGCAGGAGCATTCCACTTGACTGAATGCTTTCCATAGTATCTATTCTAACAGCAGTTTATGTGAATGCAAGGGCTAGTTAATCATCTGGATTGTATTTCCTTCCTTATTCTCATAACACTTTGTTTATAACTAATTTATGGTACTTAGTATATATGCCTCTTATTTTCTTTATAAGTTCACATGGTTCTGTTGTTTCTTAATCCTTTTTTTCCTAACCACTCCTCCCCAAAGACATCCATGTTTGCTGTCATAACCACATACTAGCTGTGAGTTTATTGAAGTGCAAACATTTATTTATATTTTGTTCTCCCAATCTTTGGTTAATGGCTTGTACATAGTATATCCTCAGTAAATGTTGCATGAACGATTACATCCTTATTATGTGTAAGGCATTGTAATAGTCATTCTGGGAGACACGAAGATTAATCAAGTACTTTTCCTACCCTTGAGAAGCTTACTAGCATTCATTAGGGGGAGGTAAAATGGGTACATAAATAATTAGAATACAGTGTGAAAAAATAATATGTGTGATGGGAATTTACATATGAAGTGCTACACAGGCTTCATTTAAAATTGGTCAACATGTATATCTCCTCTTCCTTCAAAGAGGAGTTTTAAAAATGTATAGGCCCCCAAGAATGAGTGGATGGAAGCCTTGTGACTAATGAAGTGAGCAAAGGAAGCAAGGATTATATATGAGGCTAGGAGTATATATGAAGTTGGATGTAGATTAGGAAAAAACCAGTTCAGTTTTCAAAGCAAATACCTTGAAGGCCTGGTTTAAGATGTGACACTGTAAATGAAACAATCTGCTAATCATACTCTACCACCACTCCTTGCAGAAATGTCTATCCTTGCAGAAATGTCTGCAGTCAGGCACTCTCAGCACTAGGGTTCCTCAGAGCATTTTCCTCTAAAGAAATGGAGCACACACAACCTCTGGGGATAATTAGAACAGCTAGGACGGGCTCAGCAGACCAGAGAAAAAGACTTCCTCATTCTGGCATGTAGGGGTCCCCCTCCTTTAATGCTGGCTTTTTAATCCTCTCACACACACCCCCTTCCCCTGGGCTTTAACTCTGTTTTAAACTTAAGAAATTCTGACCCATAATAATTGTACATATTTATGGGGTACAGTGTGACATTTGGGTACATGTATATAATGTATAATAGTCAAATCTGAATAATTAGCATACTTATCATCTTAAGCCTCTCATCTTAAACTGAAGTTTGCCAGTTAGAAAAATCCTCCCACATGCAAAGAAATTAAAATTTCTCTCACCTCCTTTGTAAATAAATAACCAAGTATTGTTTGAAGAAAACCTGCAAAATGAAAGAGGAAAACTATGACAGAGAAAAAGGAAAAGTGCCCCCAGCGGAAACATATATATATATATAAAGGAGTAGAGGCAAACCTCTAACGTTCTATAAAAACAAAAGCACTATAAAAACCCACTGGTTACAAATTAGTACTCATCAAAAGATTCCATTAATTGAGAACCTGATGTAATGTAAAAAGGACAGCCAGAAAAGGAAAGAAGACTAAAAATTACTGTCAATATAAATTTATTACAAACATTTGAAGAAAAAGTCATAGAAATTTCACAAAGAGTAGAACAAGAGGGAATAACGTGGAAGATAAGAGAGGAATAGGTAAGACACAGAGAAACTCTTCCACAGGTTCTAGCACCATACTAATAGAAAATCCAAGGAGAAGTAAAACTAAGGGGAGGAAATTATTAAAGAAATTAAATAGAGAAGAATTTCCCATAGCTGAAGGAGGAAAAGTCTTTAGATTGAAAGGATCCAACAAATAACGTGAAAAAAAGGCATGAATATTCATGAGATACAAAGCTGATTATCACCCCTCTTTCTCCACTCACCCTAAGATAACTAGTTTCCAGGTACTCTTTGAATTCTACTTGGTTGACATAAATGGCTGATCCCAGTGTATGTATGGGAATGTGTAATTCAATGTTGATTTAGTATAACACTATTTACTCCCAGAACCCCTTTATACTCTTAAACTCTTTGGAACCCTCAATAATTTTTTTGTTTATGTGAGTTATATCTAATAGTATTTGTTGTGTTAGAAATTAAAACTGAGAAGATTTTAAAACCCAAGAACATACAAGCATACCTGTAGGAGTGATGGCATCATGGTGTCATGTAGCCTCAGGAAAAGTTCATACACACTAGTGAGGGGATGAGAGTTGAAAAAAGCAATGATGCTCAGTATTATTATGAAAATGTTTTGATCTCATGGATTCTCTGAAAGGGCCTCAGGGACCCCCAGGCGTTCCCCAGACCATATTTCAAGAGTTACTGGTTTATAATGCATGTAATTTATTTAAACCTTTGATTCAATGTCCTCATAGAGAACGTCAGGATGCAGATGGGCAAATGAAAGAACTACAAGATCAGCTTGAAGCAGAACAGTATTTCTCAGTAAGTTCCAGGCTTAATTAATTTGATTGCTGTATTTGTAGATTTTTTTTTTTGGATTCTTGCTGCTGCAGAACCAGGAAAATGATTCTTATAGCAAACACCAGATGGTGTTTTGGGTAGTATGTTTTACACCACACAACTCATACAAAAAGCAGTTGGACAAAAGAATATAGATAATTTCACAGAAATCCATTATCATTGCTGGAAAGATAATCCTGAGCACATACCACCATACCCTATGAAGCTGATTAAAAGCATTGCTTTTAAGGATGAGTATATTTTCATAATGAAAGAAATAAAATTGTAATCAAACTGTCATTTTAACATTTGTACTTTCTTGAGATCAGTTTCTAAATATGTAGAAACTGTCACCTCTGTTCAATTTATTTAAGCCAACAAAATCTTTCTTTAAATTAGTAATGTTTTTCCTTGCCTCTTCATTCATCCTACCAATGTATGCCATTTAATGAGAAATATCACTATGATATCCAGATAAAGATTATGCTTCTAAATTATTTTAGTTGAACTTCTATTAGTTAATCAACTGACGACTACAGAATATGAAAGCTTATTAAATTATTAATTTTTTCACGAGCTCAGCAGTAAGAAAATATTTGTATGTGTTCAACTTTTGTCTGGATAGGTTTTGAATGTATGAATTATATTCCTGATGACGGTGATATACATTTCTGTTATATTTTGCTGTTTAGACCCTCTACAAAACACAAGTTAGGGAACTTAAAGAAGAATGTGAAGAAAAGACCAAACTTTGTAAAGAATTGCAGCAGAAGAAACAGGAATTACAGGATGAAAGGTAAAGCCAAGACCCTTGTCTGTTTTGTTCACAGCTGTATATACTCTGCTCCTAGAACAGTGCTTGGTGTTCAGCAAATAAAAATTTGTTGTTGAAGTGAATTAGACAGAAACTTTGACTTCATAGTGAAAATTGAACATTAAAATAATATTTCTCTAAAATGTAGGGACTCCTTGGCTGCCCAACTGGAGATCACCTTGACCAAGGCAGATTCTGAGCAGCTGGCTCGTTCAATTGCTGAAGAACAATATTCTGATTTGGAAAAAGAGAAAATCATGAAAGAGCTGGAGATCAAAGAGATGATGGCTAGACACAAACAGGAACTTACTGAAAAAGATGCTACAATTGCATCTGTAAGTAAAATTCTTGGTACTTCTTTGGATTATAATTTAATTACTACATTATAAATCTTTAGAAGCACTACGACAGTATTGTAGATCTAAATGAAAAATTATATATGCTGGCTACAAGATTTTTAATCCAGTCTACCATCGACTTCTCAATGTTGTTTGGCAGAGAGAGGCTTTGTTAAGAACTACTTCCAGTGACTTCACCTATTGGTAATTTCAAAGTTAAAGGACTGAAGTGAAAGGGAGAATACCAAAGGTAGAAAATAATCTAAGCCTTTTATAAAAAAAAAACAGAGCATAGTTCAAAAGAGTCTTGAAACTATCATGAAGACAATCCATTATACGAGAATACTCAAAAAGTTCATGGAAAGATTTTTTTTTAATTTATGAATATTCATGAGATACAAAGCTGATTATCACCCCTCATGCCCAAGATGTGAAGGCCAGATCCATACTGGCAGCATGTGCATTACCACAAATTACGTTTGTACCCCATGTCCCCCACCCAATTATCCCCAACCTCCCTCCCCCTCCCTCTGTATCCCAAGGTACGTTCTCTCCCTCTGCAAGTCCAAAGCACCACTGTGGTCTTTCTTTCCTTCGTTCTTTCTCTCTTAGCTCCCACTTATGAGTGAGTACATGTGTTATTTATCCTTTTGTGCTGTGCTTATTTCAGTCAACATAAGTTTCTCCAGGCTCATCCCTGTTGTTGCAAATGGGAGAATTTCATTCCTTTTTATGGCAGAGTAGTAGTCCATGATGTATATATACCACAGTTTCCTTATCCAGTCATCCATCGATGGACTTTTAAGTTGGTTCCATGTCTTGGCTATTGTAAACAGAGTTGCGATCAACGTGGGAGTGCAGGTATCCCTTCGACATGATGATATCCATTCCTCTGAGTATATAGCCAGGAGTGGGATTGCTGGATCGTATGGAAGATCTGTCTGTAGTTGTTTGAGAAACCTCCATACTGTTTTCCATAGTGGTTGTACTAATTTACAGTCCCACCAACAGTGCAGGAGAGTTCCCTTCTCTTCATACCCTCACCAGCATTTGTTATTCACTGTCTTTTTGATTATAGCCAGTCTAACTTGGGTGAGGTGGTATCTCAGTGTGATTTTAATTTGCATTTCCCTGATGACTAGTGATGTTGAGCATTTTTTCGTGTACCTGTTGGCCATTTGTATGTCTTCCTTTGAAAAATGTCTATTCAGTTCCTTTGCCCATTTTTTAATTGGGTTATTTGTGTTTTTTACTGTGTAATTGCTGGAGTTCCTTATATATTATAGGTATTAATCGCTTGTTGGATGCATAGTGAGCAAAAATTTTCTCCCACTCTGTAGGTTGTCATTTCACTCTGTTGATTGTTTCCTTTGCTGTGCAGAACATTTTTAGCTTGATATAGTCCCATTTGTTTATTTTTTCTTTTTCTGCTTGTGCTTTTGGGCTCATGTTCATAAAGTCTGTGCCCAAACTTAGTTCCTAAAGTGTTTCACCTATATTTTCTTTTAATAACTTTACAGTTTCAGGTCTTATACTTAAGTCTTTGATCCATTTTTTTAGTATATGGTGAGAGGTGCATATCTAGTTTCATTCTTCTGCATATGGATATCCAACTTTGCCAGCACCACTTGTTGAAGAGGCAGTCTTTTCCCTAATGTAGATTTTCGTTGCCTTTGTCCAATAACAGATGGCTGTAAGCCTGAGGGGTGATTGCTGGGTTCTCAGTTTTGCTCCACTGGTCTGAGTGTTTACTTTTATACCAGTACCATGCTGTTTTAGTTACAATAGCTTTGTAGTATAATTTGAAGTCAGGTAGTGTTATGCCTCTGGCTTTATTTTTTTTTGCTCAGGATTGCTTTGGCTATTTGGGGTCTTTTGTTGTTCCATATGAAAGTTAAGATTGTTTTTTCCATTTCTGTGGAGAATGTCATTGGTATTTTGATGGGGATTTCACAGAATCTGTAGATCACTTTGAGGGTAGTATAGACATTTTCACAACGTTAATTCTTCCAATTGAAGAACATGGAATATCTTTCCATCTTTTTGCGTCTTCTTTAATTTCTTTCAGAAGTGGTTTGTAGTTCTCATTGTAGAGATCTTTCACCTCGTTGGTTAAATTGATCCCTAGGTATTTTATTTTTGTCGTGACAATGGTAAATGGGCTTACTTTATTTCTCTTTCTGTTAGTTCATTATTTGAGTATGTAAATGCAACTGATTTGGGGACATTTATTTTGTATTGTGTAACATTACTGAAGTTATTAACCAGTTCTAGGAGTTTTTTGATAGTCTTTAGGTTTTTCTATATATAGTATCATGTCATCTGCAAATAGAGACAGTTTGATGTCTTTTCCTTCTAGATTCCCTTTATTTCTTTCTCTTGCCTGATTGCTCTGGCTAGTACCTCCAGTACTATGTTAAGTAGAAGTGGTGAGAGTGGGCATCCTTGTCTTGCTCCTGTTCTTAAGGGAAAGGCCCTCAGTATTTTCCCCATTCAGAATGATACTGGTGGTAAGCTTGTCATAAATGGCTTTTATTGTGTTGAGATACTTTCCTTCTGTACCTAATTTGTTGAGAGTCTTTATCATGAAGGGATGTTGAGTTTTCTCAAATGCTTTTTCAGCATCTATTGAGATAATCATATGGTCTTTTTCGTTGAGTTTATTGATGTGATCTATCACATTTATTGACGTTCGTATATTGAACCATCCTTGCATCCTTGGGATGAATCCCACTTGATCATGGTGTATAATTTTTTTAATGTGTTGCTATATTCTGATTGCTAATATTTTGTTGAGAATTTTCGCATCTATTTTCTTCAAGGATTTTGGCCTATAATTTTCCTTTTTTGTTGTGTCTTTATCTGGTTTTTTTTGTTTGTTTTTTTTGTTTTTTTTAAAAAGATGACCGGTAAGGGCTATCTGGTTTTGATATCAGAGTTATGTTGGCCTCATAGAATGAGTTTGGGAGAATAGATTCTGTTTCAACTTTTTGGAATAGTTTTAGGAGAATTGGTATTAACTCCTTTTTAAAAGTTTGATAGAATTCAGCTGTAAAGCCATCTGGACCTGGACTTTTCTTTGTTGGAAGATTGCTAATTACTGCTTCAATCTCATTGCTTGTTATTGGTCTGTTCAGGTTTTCTCTCTCTCCTTGGTTCAGTCTTTGTAGTTTGCATGTGTCTAGAAACTTATCCATATCTTCCAGATTTTCATATTTATTGTCATACAGTTGTTTATAATAGTCTCTAATGGTTCTTCATATTTCTGTGGTATTACTTGTAATGTCTGCCTTTTCATTTCTGATTTTTGTTATTTGGATCTTTTTTTTGTTAACCTAGCTAATGGTTTGTCTATTTTATTTATCTTCTCAAAAAAACAACTTTTTGTTTCATTGATCTTTTCTATTGTGTTTTGGGTCTCTATTTCGTTTAGTTCTGCTCTGATCTTAATTATTTCTTTCCATTTACAACCTTTAGGTTTGGATTGTTGTTTTTCAAGTTCTTTGAGTCATAGTATTAGGTCTTTTATTTGAAGTCTCTCCATTATTTTGATGTAAGCTTGTATTGCAATAAATTTGCCTCTTAGTACTGCTTTTGTAGTATCCCACAGGTTTTGGTATGATGTATCTTTATTTTCACTAGTTTCAAGAAATTTTTTGATTTCCTCTTTAATTTCTTCTTGGACCCAAGGACATTCAGGAGCCTATTATTTAGTTTCCGTATATTTGTATAGTTTCCAGAGTTTTGCTTATTAGTAATTTCTAGTTTTAGTCCATTATGGTCTGAAAAGATACTTGGAATGATTTCAGTTTTTAAAAATTAGCTGAGACTAGATTTGTGACCTAATATATGGTCTATCCTGGAGAATGTTCCATGAACTGACGAGAAGAAAGTAAGTTCTTTTGTTGTTGGGTAAAATGTTTTGTATATTTCTGCCAGGTCCATTTGGTCTAAGGTGTAGATTAAATCCTGTGTCTCTTTGTTATTTGTTGCCTGGAAGATCTGTCCCATACTGAGAGAGGGATGTTCAGATCACCCACTGTTTATGTATAAGGGCCTGTTTCTTTCTTTAGGTCTAAGAGTGTTTGTTTTATATATCTGGGTGCTCCAGTATTGGGTGCCTATATATTTATGATTGTTATGTCTTCTAGCTGGATAGATCCTTTTATCATTATATAGTGGCCTCTTTTTGTTTTTTGTTTTAAAGTCTATTTTGTCCGATATAGATTATTTTTTAATTCTACTTTTCCATGAACTTTTTGAAGTATCCTCACATGCTGGTTGAAAAAATTGCAATAAAGATGTCAAAGTGAAGTACAATAACAAGTAATTGGGTTTACCTTATCAGTTATCCAGACCTGTTGAAATGCTACAGTATTTGGAAAGTATGGTATTAGAACAGGATATTCATTTTTATTCCGTGGAAATAAATAGGCCAGAAATAGATTCATGTATGTACAGGAACTTGGTATATGATGGAAGAGGCAGTACACAAATCAGCAGGAAAGGACACAGATTCAACAAATGGTTTTGGAATAACTATATTTTTATGTGGAAAGGAATAAAATGAGATCCTTACCATATCACACATAAAAGTAAATTCTAGCTATCTTATGGACCTAAATAAGAAAAATAAAAATTTTTTGGGCCAGCCCTGTGGCGCACTCGGGAGAGTGCAGTGCTTGGGAGCGCAGCAGCGCTCCCGCTGCGGGTTCGGATCCTATATAAGGATGGCCGGTGCGCTCACTGGCTGAGCACGGTGCGGGCGACACCGCACCAAAGGTCGCGATCCCCGTACTGGTCACAAAAAGGACAAAAAACAAACAAACAAACAAACAAAAAATAAAATGGCATGCTTAAAAAAAATTATAAGGATGGCCGGTGCGCTCACTGGCTGAGCACGGTGCGGGCGACACCGCACCAAAGGTCACGATCCCCGTACTGGTCACAAAAAGGACAAAAAACAAACAAACAAACAAACAAAAAATAAAATGGCATGCTAAAAAAAACAAATGGTTTTGGAATAACTATATTTTTATGTGGAAAGGAATAAAATGAGATCCTTACCATATCACACATAAAAGTAAATTCTAGCTATCTTATGGACCTAAATAAGAAAAATAAAAATTTTTTGGGCCAGCCCTGTGGCGCACTCGGGAGAGTGCAGTGCTTGGGAGCGCAGCAGCGCTCCCGCTGCGGGTTCGGATCCTATATAAGGATGGCCGGTGCGCTCACTGGCTGAGCACGGTGCGGGCGACACCGCACCAAAGGTCGCGATCCCCGTACTGGTCACAAAAAGGACAAAAAACAAACAAACAAACAAACAAAAAATAAAATGGCATGCTTAAAAAAAATAAATAAATAAAAATTTTAAGCTATTAGAACAGAATCTAAAACTTATGTAGGACAGAAGACAACATAAATAAATGACAGGGAGAAGATATTCACAATGTATTTATTAAACAATATATTATCTAGACTATATGTGGAACACCTGTACTTCTATGAGAAAAGGTTAAACAATTCAGAACAAAAAGTGGCCAAAAGACAAAACCTACCTTTATAAGCAGATACTTAACTTCACTACTCTTCAGGAAAAGACTGGATAAAACAACTTTGAAGTACCATTTCATATCCATCACATTGGCAGAAATTCAGTATCTGACAATTCCAAGTGTTTGAAGAATGTGTGGAAAATGGCATTCTTATTTACTACTATGGGGAGTGTAAATTGAGTATGGCAGTTTCCAGTAAATTTTAAATGTTTAAATGCAGTCCAAAGAAAGTCCACATTAAGATGAGTATGCTAGAGAAGCGTGGGCACAGTGCTTATAGCAGCATAAATATTTGTAATAGCAAAAACTCAAATGTCTTGTTAATAGATGAATGAATGGGTACATTAAATGTGGTGGAAGATGGAACTACTTTATTGTTCAATTGAATTAATTATATCTTTATCAGCAGTTTAATTCTTTAATAGATGTTGAGTGAAAACAGTAACAGAAAGATAAATACAGGATGATTTAAAATCGCATAAAACCACATTATATGTTGTTTCATGTATATGTAATGACAGTATACAAAGATGGAACACGTAATTTATAATAAAACTTCCTTCAGAAAGGAAGAATGGGAATAGAATTTGTTAACTTCAGTAAAATTTTAGTTTTCATTTTGAAATAATGTTCTGAAAGAAATATTACCGTTTTAAAGTTTGTTTATTCTGTATGATTGGAATGTAGGGTTTTGTATTTCCTTTTTCCAGTTTATTAAATGTTTTTCTCATTTAAAAAAACTGTTAAGGATTTATGAGCGAAGGGCAAATTTTTGGCTTCATGGGGGGGTACATATGAAGTCTCTTATAGTCAGTAAACTTTTTATCAAGGGTGAAGTTTGGTAAGATAGCACAGGGGCAAGAAGTTTAGAGATAGATATACTTAGAAAAACAAGAGGTTTAGCAACATTCTAGGATGTTTTCAATTTGAATTATTGTTTGATAACTCAAATTTTGTAAATTGGGATGTGATTTTTTCCCCCAATTTTCATTTCTTAGCTTGAAGAAACTAATAGGACACTAACTAGTGATGTTGCCAATCTTGCCAATGAAAAAGAAGAATTAAATAACAAATTGAAGGATGCTCAAGAACGTATGTATTAGCAAAGAATAAAGTTTATTTTTAATATCCCTAATGTTTATCAGTTGCAGTTCTTATTAATATAATTTTTACATTTTTCCATCTTTCAGAACTATCAAGGTTGAAAGATGAAGAGATAAGTGCAGCAGCTATTAAAGCGCAATTTGAGAAACAGCTGTTAACAGAAAGAACACTCAAAACTCAAGTATGTATAATAGAATGTAAATTCAATTTCGAATTTTGTTTTAGTTTAGCTCTTTTACATTTTACTTATAGCATTACCAACTGAAAGCAGTAGTCATTGAGTCTGACCAGTTAGCCCAGTTGGTTATAGCATGGTGCTGATAACGCCAATGTCTCAGGTTCGATCCCTGTTTTGGCCAGCCACCCCTCCCAAAAAAAGAAAGCAGTAGTCATTGAATATATTAATATTTGTGAACAGTCACCATTATCTGATTTTTGCCAGGTTGGAAGAAGCTGGATTTAATTAACATTGTCCAATTCGATGTCTACTAAAGATTTTCTTAATTTTTCCATATGGAATTACATTCCCTCTCAATTTTTTATTGTTATCTAATAAATTTTTCTACTTTTAAGGAACTATGGGAAATGACCATTTGCTGACAGCTTGAAAAGAATCAGTTAGTTTGAAAAGGCATTGTGTTTATTTAGCATACCTCTGCCAACTCCCACAGTTATATGCATAGCACAAATGTGTGTGGGTACTAGATACCCTTTTCTTTTGTTGGATATGGTGTATTTTCACAATGTAATGCCAATGCAAAATCATCTTCCAGAATAAAAGAAATATCTGCATGTTAAAGTCTCTCTTGGAACACAGAAGTCAAAGTGGTAGAAAATGACATCAGATCAAACCTGTTAATATTTTCAATTACAGTTCTTAGAAAGCCTGAGAGTGAAAAACTGATAGAGTGTAGGATGGAGAAGGATGATGAGTAAAAAACGAGGTGTGTTATTTAAATAATATAGGAAATGCTTCTTCATAGCTTTGTTTATAGGGAAGGAGATTATTAGTGGTTGTATAGTGTAGTATTGGTTAATGACTGAGAATCCATCAGTATAATTTATTTCATTCATGTACTTATTTTTACTTTTTTAAGGCTGTGAATAAGTTGGCTGAGATCATGAATCGAAAAGAACCTGTCAAGCGTGGTAGTGACACAGATGTGCGGAGAAAGGAGAAGGAGAATAGAAAGCTTCATATGGAGCTCAAATCTGAACGTGAGAAATTGACCCAACAGATGATCAAGTACCAGAAAGAACTCAATGAGATGCAGGCTGTAAGAATACTTTTTGGACTCTGTATTGAAGACTTCTTTTTAAGAAGTAGAATTATTTTAATGTCTGTGTGTATTTCACTGGTTATAGAACAGTTCTATTACTTAATAATTATTATTGAACCAAGAAGCAAAATTATGAGATAGATTGTATCTAATGAATTCAAGTTAATTTAATTTCTTGTAGCAAATAGCTGAAGAGAGCCAGATTCGAATTGAACTGCAGATGACACTGGACAGTAAAGACAGTGACATTGAGCAGCTGCGGTCACAGCTCCAGGCCTTGCATATTGGTCTGGATAGTTCCAGTATAGGCAGTGGACCAGGGGATGCTGAGGCAGATGATGGATTTCCAGGTACAGATTTGCTTTCAACCCTTACGTTTGTCTTAAATATAAATCAGTTGCTTTTGTGACTTTGTTCTTGAAGAAAAATGTCATTTCCTTAAGGAGAAACCTACTCCTTGGAGTGGGGAATTCAAAACATTTTTAACTTATTTATTGATTTTCAACAAAATTTTTCATAAAAAGCAAACATGCAAAAGAAAACTCCACATATTTAGTTATTTAAATTAACTATGTATTCTTGTAGCGCTCTTTTTAAGCTTTCATTTTATTTTGTCTTCTTTCTGCATTCTTACTTCCTTTTATGTCGGGTGTTTAGTTCATATCACTCAGTCACACTCTATGGAGTCCATGTCATTCACCTACCAGCGTTCCTCTACTTCTCTCAATATTGCCACTAAGCCTTCCAGTTCTCACATGCTCCTTGACTCTGATTCTGACTCAGAAGAAGAATCTTTGCCTTACTTACCCATTTCATCGGAACCTAATGGTACAGGTGATACCCTGAAAATCTTTTCATCTTTGGAGTTTTTCTCACTACCCTTAATTTTATTCCTTTTGAAAATTCTTTGTAACGTTAACTAATATTCACTAACTCTAACATGTTGCTCTAGACTCAGTTAAAAATAAAGTGCTGCATGAACAAAGAATTTGTTTTTAAGGCATTTTCACATAGCATTTCTACTATAATTGATCATTTATTTTGCCAGCTGAAAATAAGTGGAGCAGTACATTATATTTCTGAAGAGTGTATGATTTTACTGCCTCATTCAGCCATTTTCAGCCAAGAAGAAATTGTTTCTGAGGTTTCATATCAAAAGGGACAGTGCAAAAAAGCACACAAATAGTTTCAGACAATGTATTTAGGTTTTCGTTGAGTACTTATCTAGTCAACATTGTTCTAGGCCTTAAAAGATAACATGAAGCAATTTGGCCTGATCCTTGCCCTGAAAAGGCTTATAGTTTAAGTGAAGAAACCAGAGAGTTGTCTCATCTGAATTAGGGGTATAATTTCTGTTCTCTGGGGTTGTTGTGAGTACTGAAGAGAATTTATGTAAAGCATCTAGCACAGTTGACACATAGTAGATGTTAAATAAGTTATATTTACTTTTACCATTAGAATAATCTCCCCAAATGCTGTTTCACTAATTTCACTAAAAGATACCGATCAAATGTCATTAGAACAAGTTCTAAGGATTCAGACACTTTCCTTTGTTTGAACTAAAATTTTATTGATTTTGATATTTTGTAGTTTAGAAATCTTTTGGTTATATTGCTATTCATTAACCAAATTTGATCCTGTAATTTATACAATTGTATTTCATTTTAATATAGCTATTCTAAAAATCCATTTTCTCTGAACTTGTAAATACTTATTTAAAAAATTTCTTCTCGAAGATGTGCACTATTTCCATAGTTAGGCCTTCTTCTAATGTGGGTATACCAGTGAGGATAGAGAGCTGCTGCTTCCTTCCTGTCTTTCCTTTTTTTTTTTTTTGCATGAACTTAGTCAACAGGACATTTGGATTTTGTTCTGCATTGCATAACTTGCTTCTACTGATCCTGCATTATTATTGTATCGTAAAAAATATGCAGTGATAAATTCTGAAAGACATTTTTGATTTGTGACTTTAATGTTAAAATTTTATTAAATTCCTCATTGTCTAAGGAGAATTGTTAATATTTATCCTTATATCTTTGTTTATTTATAGAATCAAGATTAGAAGGATGGCTTTCATTGCCTGTGCGAAACAACACTAAGAAATTTGGATGGGTTAAAAAGGTAACTGGTGCTTTTGAATATGTTTTTTGGGGGGATTGGTTAGCTCCAGCCGAGGATGGCTTTCATTGCCTGTGCGAAACAACACTAAGAAATTTGGATGGGTTAAAAAGGTAATTGGTGCTTTTGAATATGTTTTTTGGGGGGATTGGTTAGCTCCAGCCATGTCACTTTTGTAATTGCAGGATATTTAAAACTAGAACTTTTAGACACAAAACTGTTTATTCTTTCTGATTTGGAAAGATGTGATTTTATTTATCTTTGTAAAAATTTTTTTGTCCTTCATATTTTGTTAATAATAAAACAAGTTTTGGTGTTAGGAAAATATAAGCCTGTTGACCTTGGTACTTTTGCTGTGTCAGTGGAAAAACAATTCTGGATATGATAAAAGAAAAAAGACCCATTTATTTCTTTCCAACTCTATTAATATGATTATTAATGTCATGTTTATTTTTGATAAGGTAACTAATACTGTTGGATTCCAAAGCTAAATAAATCCAAAAAATATTTGACTTTATGCCCCCCCCAATTTGCTTATTTAAAATACCTACAAACAAAATTAATTGTTATTTTAAGGAGGACTTTTGAAAAAGATATATTAAGTACTTTTTAGTTATTTAACTTAGTTATTTTATGCGTTTTTATTGATAATATAGAATTCATTTTCAAAGAAAATCAATAAATAAGATATATAATAACTTTAATCGTTGTTTGATTCTTTTCCTCCCCTTCTTTAACAGTATGTGATTGTAAGCAGTAAGAAGATTCTCTTCTATGACAGTGAACAAGACAAAGAACAATCTAATCCTTACATGGTGTTAGATATAGAGTAAGTGATTTTATTAGAATATTTAGGAACTATAAAGTTTGATAAAAGTAATATTGTTTTGGTCAAGATAGTACAATTTATTAGTCATATGAGGACTCAGTATATAGCTGCTGTTGTACTATTGTTATATTTTTTTATAATTTGCTTTATACAGATGAAAGTCAGAGATGTTTTAGTTAGCTAAAACATCTTTATTTCTTGGATCTTTAATATATTGTTTTCTGAAACGAATTAGAAAATTTCTGACTCATTGGAAACTTCTGAAAATCTTAAGTAATGATCGAATTAATAGAACAAGGTAGAGCTGGCTGGTTAACTCAGTGGTTAGAGTGCCTTATAACACTAAGGTCAAGGGTTAGGATCCCCTTATTGGCTAGCCACCCCCCCCCCCC